GTGAGCCCCGCCACGACATGCGTCACCTCGAGACTCCAGCAGGGTGCCACACACAGCATAGAGGAAGGGGCGCTCTCCTCTGAGACCACAAAACGTCACCAAACTGACCAAATGCTGAACCAAAAAGTAAGTCTCAATCACATCCAAGGACTGAAATTATACAAAGTATGTTTCTAACTAGAGTAGAATTAAGCTGGAAATCAGTAACAAAAAGATAATTAGAAAGATCCCAACTGCTTTTAAGTTATCCAGTATAATTCAAATTAGCATATTGGTCAGAACAGAAATCAGATTAAAATTAGAAAATATTCTGAGTTGAATAAGGAAAACCCAACATCAAGACTTAGGAGATCAAGCCAAATCCAGAAGGCAACATGTGCAGCCTTAAACGTATCTATTCAAGAGCAAGACAGGATGAAAAATCAACGATGTCCCTATTCATCTTAAAAAGTTTGAAAAACAGCAAATAGAAAAAATAAAGAACAGTCATCACTGAACCAGAATGTGTAACATACGTGATACCAATTAGGTCCTTGAATGACACGCTCCTTCCAAGAGCAAAGGAGGAGGGAAACACCAGGACCAGCGACAGGGATGAAGACGGGGACGACGGGCACTCTCAGGCCTGACCGAGTTAAAAGCACAAAAGAGGGCATTTTAAACAACTCCATGCAAGAAACTAGAAAATTTAAATGCCATGGGGGCAGAAAATACCTTGATAAATACAACTTTCCCAAGGACGAACAGAATACTGAATATTCCGTGTCTATGAAAGAAACTGAATCCAGAGTGTAGAATATTCCAGTGGAGCCCCACCAGTCAATCCCTGTCACGCTGAAGGAAGACGTGATGCTCATCTTGCACAAACTCTCCCACAGAGTAGAAATGACGGTACCACCTCAACTGAGTGTCGATGTCAGCATGAGGCAGACAATACAACCACTCTCAGGAGCATGTCACAAGAAAGGGAAATTATCATCCAGTCTCTCAAGAATATAGGTACAAAAATCCTAAATTAAAAATGTGAATTAGGGGACGCCTGGGTGGCTCAGTTGGTTGAGCGACTGCCTTCGGCTCAGGTCGTGATCCCGGGGTCCTGGGATCGAGCCCCGCATCGGACTCCCTGCTCGGCAGGGGATCTGCTTCTCCCTTTCCCTCTGCCGCTCCCACTGCTCGTGCTCTCCTGCTCTCTCTCTGTCAAATAAAATCTTTAAATAATAAAAATAAATTAAAAAAATTTTTTTAAATGTGAATTAGGCTCAGCTGCATATGAAGAGGATAATACACACAAAAGTGGGACTTATTCCACAAAACCAAGGTTGGTCTCACATTAGAGAATCAATCAATATAACTGACCACATGAACAGAAAAAGGAGAAAAAAAATCATCCAGGGCAGACACATGATAAAACTCAATACCCAGACGTGACCGAAATTCAACTAATAATAAAATGCAACTTCCGTAAGTTCTTAAGAAAGAACATCGATGTTAATCCAGAGCAGACATAAGCCCTGCTGGTGGATTACTGAGCACGTCCTCCGTGAGCAGGACGAAGACCGGGACAGCCACCGCTGTACCTACTCACCCACGAACTACAGACCCATCGAGGCAAGGGGAAGAGACGGCGGTATAAAGATTAGGGAGAAACAGAGCTGTCATGACTTGCCAGCATGCACTTCTCTTTTCCTTCTCACATGCTGGGACTTTTAAATGTCCACTTTCCATACGGAGGTAATTCTAACAGTCCCTGTGTGTCCTCAACTGTCATTACGATGGCTGGGGCTGGGGGTCAGCTGGGAGTTGACCTGCTCTGAGCAGGGCCGCTGGAGGTCCCACCCACTGCAAGAACACCCTCCATGGCGTGGCAGGCTGTTCCACCACGGAGGAGCCAAACCTGGTCTTGTCTGCTGCACACGCCCCACCTGTTCTCGACGGCAGGGCACGGCCCCCACCCAATCCCCACGCAGGGTGATGAGAGTCGCACGTGCTCTGGGGACCAGTCCTACTCTGTTGGGATAGTCCGGCTCACTCTTTCCCGCCTATACACAAAGAAATATATACAAAGCTACCTTCACTAACAGACATCCACCAAGAGAAGAAATTCCTGTAGGTACCACCAATCCCCCACTTGTAAAAGCAGTGACTGAAATAAACATACACTCGAATGCACGCTCCCTGAAGACAGTGACGTGGTCTGGTTCTCTGCTGTCCCCTCAACCTCTTGACCTCACGGTCTTCCTTTCTCTACCTGTCCTCACCACCGGTGACCTCAACCAGCAATGTGACGCCAAACATCGATCATACGCCGACAACCCCCTCCTATCTGCAAACCCCAACTCACCACATGTAACCACCTGTTCAACACCTCTTCGTGGGTATCATAAGCATCTCAAACATGTCCGTCAAATTCTTCACCCTTCCCCGAAACCTGTATTTCTACATCTTGCGACACCTGCCGGTTCCAATTCGAGTTCTGGTTCCCGAAGCCAAAACCCAGCAAACACCTTACTTTCCTCTTTCTTCCAACATGAAGTTTCAACAGACTCCGTTGGTTGTACCCATAATCTGACCACTTCTTGAACCTTCTGTGATGACCATCATGGTCCAAGCTCGTACTACCCCTTGGTCTACATTCCTATTAAGCCTCTTAACTGGCCTCCCAGCCTCTGTGCATGCCCCTGTTCAATCCAGCGTCAGGTCAGAAACCAGAATGTTCCCATCACGAAGTATGTCATACACATCCTCCCTCCGCTGCTGCAGAGCCCCACTGGCCCAGGAGGCCTCCTCCCTGTGTCTGCAACGTGCTGGAAATGCCATGCCTCACCTCTGTCCCTGCCCGTCTCCCCGCCCGGGCCTTTCCCCACCTCACCCCACCGGCTCCCCTCACCTCCCGCCGCTCTCCAGGGCTCCAGGAGCATGACTCAGGCTCTCCAAATCCAGCCCCCACCTCCTCAGGCTCCGCCCTACCCTCTTCTGGGGACTGAATTGTCTCCACAGCACCCGTCACCATCACCTAACACGTTCTCTGTTCTACTGTTTCCTTCCGCTCTGACGTACACCCCATGAGGGCAGCCATGTCCCCAGTGTCTAGGACAAGTGTGGCCCCTGGCGCGCACTCACAAAGTGTTCAGTGGAAAGAGTAACTGCGCTGATGAACAAAGGCCGTGAATGGGTGGGAGAACCAGATGAAAGGGCCTGGTGCCCACAGAACTGCAGTGAGTGGAGCTCGGCCACTCAACTCACCTGAGGCCCCGCCCCACTCGGGTCACAGCTGCACGCCAAATCCCTTGCTTACATTTAGAAAAACCGAATACATTCAGAGAGGAAACCTTATCAGTAACACAAGTGGAAAGCCAGCATCACTCATAAACGAGAGGACATTAGAAAAAGTTACTCATCGTCACCACATGTCGGTGACTCCAAACTCTCTGAGCTTGCAGCCTACTGTTTCCTCGTTTAAAAGTGAGGTCACCAAAAGTAAGAAATGTTCAAGACCTATTATCAGTAAATCAACACACTGACAGAACCAGATGAATCTTTTAAAAATTTAAAAGGGCAAAGATTTCTCACTAGGTAATCGAGTATTTATGTGATTTTAAATCCCCCGTGCCTGCGCCACCTTATAGCCCACAGCATCGGTGCTCTGGACCAACAAACAACTTCGGGGGGACGGCGGTGGGCGCCCTCGGGGCTGCGGAAGCCAGAGCGCCCGTGTCCCAGGGCCCGGCGGGGGCCCCAGCGGTGGGGGCGGTGGCAGGGCCGGAAGGGTGGGCCACGGGTTTTGCACGCAAGCTCGCTAGACACGGGAAGGCAGAGGAAGCCAGAGCGCCAATCCAAGCACCAGGGTGGCTGCCTGGACGGAGGTGGGAGACGTGACAACACAGAACAAAATGCACCAACGTCACTCAGCAGGACGTTGGTGCAAACGAGGCACCGGGGGGGGGCGGGCAGCACAGCCCCCAGACAGCACAGCCCCCACTGCCGCCACCGTCCTGCAGAGCGCCGCGCACCTGCTCGCCAACAGTGGTCAGAAGAGACCCGCAAACATACTAACTGTGGGTACTGCTGAGTGACAGCCTCTGGTTTTGTGTACTTCCCCAAATCCCTACAACGGATACAAGCACTTCCAGAACAACCAGAAGAACTTCTATTACGGAAAATGTCAAGATCTCAAGTGAGAGAGCAAGCGATGGGATATACCCGGACATCCAGTCAGTGCTTCAGGCCATCCGCATGCATCAGAGAACTGTAGCAGGGCAAAAACATTTAAGATTTACACTTACTAAATGTTGGCTGCTCAGCCTGGGGATCTAATTTAAATATAATCCTTTCACACACCTGCCAACGACAAACCCCGACCGCAGCTGATGTAGAAATGGATCGTGCCCTAGTCTCGCACTGACGTCAGGACTCCCAGAGAAGTCTCTCCCCCATCTGCTGGCTTCTACAACATAACTTGTAAGTGTCCTCTAAGTTCATGGAATTTTGCCTGAAATGACTCTCCACAAACAACTCTGAAAACAAATAATTCACTAAAAAGGTATGGAAACCAGAAAAGACCAGTAACACAGAGCCTCCTGAGCCCTGCCTCGTCCTGACCCAGCTCCGTGCCCCACCCCTGCGCTCTCCCACCTGCTCTGCGGACCTCCTGCAGACACGCACGTCTCCATTCTTTACGCACGGACATACCCTAAGGAGTAGGGCGACAGCCCAAGTACAATCTGACATTGAAGAAATGTAGACGGGAGCTAGAGATCAGGCAGCGTGTCCCTATCAAGACAACACACTGACAAAGAAGACGACACGTCTCCCCTGCCGAGGGAGGAGTACGCCAGCGTTAGATACGACGGTGAGGAGGAGAAGGGGAGAATTACTTCAATGAAAAGGAAGCTCTTTCACCGAAACAGGCAAAAAACAACAAAAGCCACTCTTCGGGGACGTGACCTTGGTGCCAGTCACGGGGCCCACAGCAGACAGCTCACTTGGCTTCAAAACCTCACCTCTATGAATCTCTGGAAGACGCGGTCACTCTGGTGAGCTCCGATCGTGACTTCCGGGACATAGATAGGAATGGTTGTGTAATTCAGCACCTCCAGCTTATTCTGAACCCTACAAAGTAAGACAAATACAGATCACACTAAGCCATCGAAACAAACATAACAAAAGAAGCTGTAAGGCTGATTTTTCAAAAAAAATGCATACAAATAAATGCCCTTCATCCCCAGGCGGCCTCTGGACGCAAACCTTCATCCCAAAGACCATGAGGTCTGTGCGCAGCTGCTTTTCTGACATGACCTTCAGAACCTGAGGGAGAGTCTTCCAAAAGCCTGAGCCGCCACAGAGGACCACCTTTCGGGAATGGATGAGGTTTGGGAGACACTGTGCTTCACACACAAGAATACCATCAATAAAACGTCACACCCCACGCCGCCCACAGCGGTGCCAGGCACTTAGGCAGCCCTCAGTAAACGTGCAAATTCAATGACTCTTGAGGGAAAGGCAGCCAATAACTCCAGTCCCCCCAGATTTACCACACAGCATCCTGCTGCCCTCCTGGGCAGATTCCAGGAGCAGAAGGGCCACGGGGAACTCAGGAGCACGGGGTGGGGCGGGCCCACACAGGACACCCGGGCGCACCCTCGCCTGGAAAGGTCTCACGCTCTGCCTTGCTCGGCACTGACAAATACAAATTATCAGATCTGCTCCTTGTTTCACCATTTTACTTTGCTGAACGCTAAAATATTTATACTGTGCTATGACTGCTTATTTCAAATTAAATTTAGTCTGAATATGACCACTATACTTGAAGATGAAAAGCATTTTGGGGGCTTTTTGAAACAAACATTTAAATAAAGTCTCCTTTCTTAAGGGCTCAAAACAAAGCAAATAATTACTTTAAATGACCATTTTCCCATTAATGAGTTATAATGGCAGAAGAAGTTTTCTGTTTATAACGGTCCAAATGGAAGTTCTTTAAATGCATCTGGCTTTCAGCTACTTTGTGATAAAGAGTCCAGACCCACATACCCAAGGCCAGTGCCCCCTGGCAGCCGGGGCAGATGGCCATGGTCAGAACGCCCCGATCCGATCCGGGGCCGGTGCTCCGCAGGCCCCTCCCGCCGAGGACCGCGGTGCACGGAGAACCTGCGGCAGGTTGAACGAGAGCGGAGAGCAGGAATGGGCACGTCCTGCTTGTCACCGGTACAAACTGTGTCAGTCCTACATGGACTGATAATCTGGCAACAAAGAGCACCTGAGGAAATGCACCCGGGGAACTGTCTCTTCCCAGGTGCATCTCCACGATCACATTAACTGGCTACGACGGACGCACTCCACGAGCAGGGCTCGTTCTCAGCCCTCCCAGGAAGCTGTTCACACGACAGAGCTCTGTAAGCAGCGTAGATAATGCACAAGTACACGCCTCTTTGCTTTTAACAAACAGAATTATTCTCATTTTATAAAGATAATTCTTTAAAGTGATCTGAGCATAAACAATTTCCACTAAAAATGAAAATCAGTGTTTTTAAATGTTAACAGGTATCAAGGTGGAGTATGATTGGTTTCCTCAATAGTTTGAAAAGCCTACGACATTCTGGGCCATCGGAGAGAACGTGCTGGCCAGGAGCTGGTGTGCGACGTGCAGAGCGCAGCACCGTCTATACCCCGTCGGGCAGAAGTACCATTTCCACGAAACCCCCAACACACCGTCTCTTTCAACAAATAGCTTCCAACTGTTTCTGAACATTAAAAAAATAATCTGCTGCAACTGTCTACGACTTGCTCAAACTTGGCTAAAGCGCTCTGTCAACGACACCCCATGAGCTTCCGCGGCGACTGCTGGATGAACCTATGGTGTCTTGTCTCCTGTAAACGCCGAGTCGTAACCTTCCATCAACTCGATTTACTCTAGATTGAAGATAAGTAAGGAACAGAGATGACGGGAAGCATTTTATGACCCAGGGAGCACAAAGCGGAGAAAGAAAACATTCTGTTCACAAAGCACTTAGTCTAATTGAGGAGAATTCAAATACTGGCTGAGGATAACATATCCTCTTCACATCATAAGCCAAAGCACCCGAAGAAGAAGATAAAGTGCAGCGGAGCCTAGTTTACAACACAAGGCGGTGTGCCGCATATTCTAAAAGAGTGAGGCAAGACGAGACAGAAAAAACACGTAGTAAATTATGTTTTACGACTAACACTGGTTCCCAATTAACAGAATGTCTATCCTCGCTCCTAAAACATGTCCACAGTCTATCTGTTGGCTTGTCCTGAACTACAAAGCCCTGTTTGAACACTACGCTCTGATACCAAACTTGTACCCCACAGACTTTGCAGCCCTGGGATCTCCTACAAGGACTTGTTCCAGAGTCACAAGAAACAGAAGCGTCCGTGATGAAGCAAACGGGGTGAGCGGGAGGGTGGTCCAGGCTCTGGGGAAGCAGGAGGAAGGGGCTCAGAGCCCCGCACACGCGGAGCCCGGCCTGGTGACCGGAGTCATCAACCCAGGAATGGAATGGACCAAGGTGGGTGCCAGCCAGGAAGTTATGGAGTATGCATAGGAACACACAATGTTATCCAGGTCGACAAATACAGTCCCTGTCTCTCAGCATAAGCGCACACACACATAATCACACACCGGCACATGTAACTGAAATGGAACAAAAATGCTCTAAACCAATAATCTGGTCAGGTTCTAGACAAAATGAGTATAACTGGTAAATGGCATGTTTACAGTAATTATCTTAGAAAATTGGTCAAAATTTTCATTTGAGTCCCCCAAATTAAGAAATGACACTCACATGAAAATAAACACGATTACCATTGCACACTGTTGTGAAATATCCGGGGCGCAGGGGCAGGGGAGCGATGGACCAGGAGAAGGAGCGGACAGACCATTTACAGCAAAATAAAACAGTGAATTGAATGCTATAATCTGTAAACTTCAAGGGAATTACTGAATCCTTCTCTATGCTCTGGCAAAAACACAACTAAGTAACTTCTAAAATCATGATCTTGGTGAAGTGGAGAGAGGGTATTCGGGGGGTAAAGGGTGAATATAGCCAGACTTAGACATAAGCTAGGATTCTCAGAAAATTACTGGGCAGGTGGGGGAGGGAACAGATTCAGGAAAAGGGAGAACCAGATGATCAGGACTCTGAATTACTTCTCAGAAATGAAATTTGGATTCGTGAATAAACAAAGGTAGGCCACCGAAGGATCCGGAGTGAAGGGAAAACAGGGCCACTGTGACATTCTTATGAAAATTAGCCTGGTGGGTGTGTTGCACACAGAACAAGCAGTAGGAAGAAATAATTAATGGCAGGATAAAGATCAAGAATGAGGGGATCAAACCCCAAAGGCAGCAGAAGTCATGAAAGAAGAGGAGAGGGGGAGAAACCACCAGGGACAAACACAAGGGCCTTAGTGTGTTACTTAGGGTGTGCGGGTAAGCGGGCCGCCCGGGAAGGGAGGGTCCTGGCAGCATGACAGCTGAAGGAGGAGGAGGTGACGAGCCCACCAGGATGGAAGCCTGAGCCGCTGAGAGGGCAGGCAGCACGGTTTGCAAGCTGGACCGCAGGCAGGGTCACGTCGGCCCCTCCGCACCGTGCAGGTCAGTGCCCCTGAGCTGTGGCTTCCCCAGCTGTAAAGTGAGGGGAGCGCCCACCGGGCAGGAGTGCCGTGGCATCGGGAAATGTTTCTGGAACACTCTCTGGACACAGCGCTGACCTGTAACTGCGATTCAGGCTAACACCTCGAGGCTTCAGACCTAGAGGCAAACACTACACGGCTGCTGGAAGAAAGGGTACAGGGTCTCCAGCAAGGGTCAGAACGATACCACATATAATCCCATTTACGTAACTTTACAAAAACATTTACATCCATCAGCATCTAGACAAAGTGAACCAGAACTTTCAAGAACAGAGACTTCCAGTTTCAGCTCCAATGAGGAAAGAGCTTGAAAGTCATCACTTCCGTCCTTACAACAACAAGAAAACATCGCTGCAAATCAAATCCTCGTCCCGGAAGAAGAGCTCTGACAGATGTCAGCACGCGGATGAAGGGAGGAAGTGCGATGCTCTGCTCCGAGGTCCCCGCACCACCCTGGAGGCGGCAGGGCCATGGGAAAGTGCACCGAGATGACTGCACGTGGAGCCCGGAAGCCCCACAGCCACGACAACCACGCTGCGAGAAGTGCAACTGCTCTGCTAGGGGAGAGGAGCATGGAATCATCCAGAAGGCTCAGGCATAGCCAGAGAAGGCAGGAAAACGAAGGAAAACAAAGAACAAATGCAACAAATGTAAAACTTTTCATGACAAGACACAGTAAATGTTAATCCACATACGTCAACACTCCTTTTAAATGTAAATGGTCCAAACACAGCAATTAAGACACAGAGACTGTCAGAACAGAGAAAAACACAGGACCAAATCTACGTTGGCTACAAGACACCCACGGTAAACAAAGACTCGGGTTCAAAGGAAAGGGATGGAGGAAGACGCCTACGCGAACCAAAGCTGGAACAGCACGACCCATTCAGACACGACAGACTGCAGAACAAGAATAATCATGAGGGATGAAGCGTGGCGTTCTGTAGTGAGGAAGGGGTCAGTTCTCCACCAAGACCTAACAACCCTGAACACCTAACAGCAGAGCATCAAAGTACGTGAGGTGAAAACACACGTCAGCGGAGAAAGGGCCACATGCTCCCGTGGCCAGAGACCTCACCGCCCCCTCCCTCGCTGGCAGAGAAGCCTGGGGCACGTAGATGAGCTGAACACCCCCACCCACAATGCAGCCTGGTCTCCCCGACACTGACAGAACATTCCACTCAACAGCAGGATGCGCATTCTTCTCACGCTCGACCAGAACGTGAATCCAGAAGGAAAGCATGCCTGACCACGTAAAGCCCCCGCACCCATGCAAACGAGGAGACATCACACGTAGTGTCTTCTCAGATCACAAGGGCAATTAAACAGGAGGGACGCCGACAAGCAGATGGCACGTATGATGAAGATCTGAAATCGAGCATCTAGACCTCTGAAAAATAGTAATAATAAAAAGTAGAGCAGGAATCAGACTGAAAACAGAGAAATAGAGAAATTCAAGAAAACAAAAGGCTGTTTTGTTAAAAAGATCAATAAATGTGAAGAGAAAACTCACAAAGGACAAATAAATGAGTAATAAAAACACACTGAAGTTCAGTGTTTATAAAATGCAAAGTAAAGCCAACACTTCTCTTTGGCATCAGAATCACAAGTTTCTGTCTGCTTTTTGTTCGAACTACATGGTCTGTGTAGGACTTGGGGAAGATGGTCAAGCTCACAGCATGTGTTTTCCAGAGAACAGTTCTCATACACGGAGAGTTGTAAGGTGTGTGCACACGCCCTCACCCCATGCACTCAGCTTTACTCCCAACGTGGAGCAAAATAGGTGCAACGTGCTGGAACCACATGGGGACCGGACCTGACCCTGTGAGGTGAGCGGGCGTGACTCCGACCTCTAATCCACTGGCTTCCACCCACCTTTTCTGTGTTCTCCACCCTGCCTCACCCACGTTAAATCTCTCACCGTCACACTAATTCACTTTTGTACATTCTCCTACTCGCCGATCCTGTTGGAATCCAGAACCCTGCCTACTCCCTGCCGGCCCCTGGGCAGCTGCAGCAGCGGGAAAGCGCTCCCTCCACCGGACGTCAGGACCGCCGCGCTGCCTCTCCCCACGCCGACGCCTAGACAATGCTTCCTACCTTTCCTCCCTCCTCAGACCTCCAACACATCCTTCCCCCACCCAACTGCCACTGTGGTTGATGACCCACTTCCCATCACTAGGAAGACAGATTGACCGTCCAAGAACGTCCACATGCCCAAGGCACATCCCCACTCGCCCGGCCCCTGCTCACACCCCTCTGCCCCCAGGCCATGCCTTCGGAGGCCACCCCAAAACCATAGGATCTTTCCTGTGAGCTGCTATTTCTTCCATCTTAAGCATACAACAAAAAAACTGCTAAAAATGACTAAAATTTTAGGTCCTACTTTTAATAACTAAATCAATAGGTCCAACTTGAGAAATTATTGAAATACATGGACTCTATATGTGCAGACATTTGGGTGCATCCAAGCATATCAGTCATACCAAGAGAAACACCGTGAGCTAGCAAACTCCCCAGCACATAGAGGAAGCTCTGACCCTTGGGGCCCAGCTCTGGCAGAGCTTATCCAACGGGCTGACAGGTAGAGTGGTCACCAGGCAGGATGGACACCATCCGTGGACTCAACACTCAGACTGGTGCTCCTCAAACTGATGCCGCCCGGCCACCGTGTGTGTCCAGCATGGCGGAGCAGAAGCCGATGCTGAGCCTCCAGCACGGCCCGTCCCTGGGGACAAATGAGGAAGTCAGTAACACGGGGTCCCACCCTTCATGAAGGGGCAGCCACCGACCCTCCCAGGAAACTTCCATTTCCTGGGTTCAGATGTGCCTTCCTGCCCAAGACCCGTCTGCCAGAAGCCCAGCTCATGTGCACGTGGAATGCCCTTCCACGGTCCTAAACAGAGCAGGCCTGAGACTGCGGTCTCCCTCGGCTGGGAGGGCTCAGAGTCTCACAAACGCTACCTTAAGGCTGGGGCACCACACACTGGGCACCAGGTTACAATGTGATTTATGGGGAGCACCAGCCTTCCTTCTGGAGGTCAGAACTTGAGCAGCTGACAAGGCCAACATGACCAGCACCCAATAAAAACTCTGGGCACCGAGTGTCTAATGGGCTCTGTGGGCAGACACTGCCCAAGCCCATGTTACTGCTTTTCTCGTGCCCAACGAAGCAGCTCATTTGGCACGTCCCTCCTGCGAGGGAGGGAGCCTCGATCACCGGCGCGTGGACTGCTCCAGATTTGCCGTGTCCTTCTCCTCACTGACCAGCTAGGTATCCTTGCTGATTCCCTGTGAGAACCTTAGCCATGAGCGCAACCACCTGCTGTGATTCCTGAGTCCTTCCAGTGAGTTCCCGAGTGTGGGGTTGCGCTCAGGGCCCCTCAAAACACATGGTATACTGAGTTGAATAGTGTCCCCCCAAAATTCATGTCCACTTGGAACCTCTGAATGGGATCTTATTTGGAAACAGGGTCTTTGCAGAGAGAAGTTAAAATGTGATCACAGGGGACTGGCATGAGTCCTAATCCCACGACTGGTGAATTTATAGCCAGAGAGAAATGTAGACAGAGACACAGACACACAGGGAAGCACGCCCTGTGAGGACAGAGGCAGAGTGGGAGTGATGAAGCCACATGCCAAGGAATGCCGAGGTACACCAGCAGCCACCAGAAGCTGGAAGAGGCAGGAAGGATTCTTCCTAGAACCTGAAGAGCAGGGTGGCCCTGCCAACACCTGGACTTCGGACTTCCGGACTCCAGAACTAGGAGACTAAACTTCCGCTGCTTTCATCACCCCCAGCGTGTGGCTGCTTGTCACGGTAGCCCCAGGGCACTCACACACACGGTCACCGGCCTGATGCTGCCTGACCAAGGAACTCATTTCATGGCCCAGGAGGTGTGGCAACGGCCCCACGCGTAAGACACTCACTGTCCTGACAGAACAGCGAACGGTCCCTTGAAGGGCGTCAAGGCCCTCGCTGGAGAAAGCACTCTGTGGCGTGTCTGCGAGAGTCGGGGCGCTGCTCAGCAAGCGAACCAGCAACAGACTGACAGCCATCTCCCCACTACCCTGGGCCCGGGGGCTGGAGGACAAAGTGCCCAGAGGAGATACAAGCAGGAGTTTTGATTCTAAATCCTCTAAATCTGGAACAGTGCTTGGCACATGGTGGAAGCAAAATATCTGTTGAATTAATATTGGAAATCAATTAATTGTCAGACTGGAGAATGCAAGAGCCTGTTTGAAGGGAATAGGAAATACACCTCATTATTGGTGGTACCGTTAACACCTAACTTAAAGTAGAATTCCTTCAAAATTCTCTAAGTTTCTACAGCAGGCGAGGGACTGCACTCAAAACTCCAGCCCCTTGTCCTATCTGGCCGGTTCCCAAAAGCACGGAACTTACAGCATCCGCAGATGGTGAAGAGTACGGTCATCCTGCTTGAGCCACGGCCCTTTGTCGTACTTGAGGTATTCAATATCCTCCACCACCTGAGACAAAAACAATTCCAATTTAATGCAGAGTCCCATTCTGAAAATTTAAAGGTGGTAACATTTTAATCCAGTATGAGCCACGGGTATCTAGCAGGAACAATCACCGAAGTCAAAAGGAAAGGAAGTCGGACAGATGGCCTTCAGTGCAGAAATGAGATTGGGTGCTGACCCTCAGTGTGGGCACCCAGCCCAGTGGACACTGGGGTCAGGGGGTGGCGCTGACCCTCAGTGTGGGCGCCTGGCCCAGCTAACACATGGGTGGTGTAGAAATTACATGGGAGGCTGGGAGAAGCAGCACAGGACAAAAAAAGACTCAAGACCAGGGGACCCAGTATTAGTGACAGACTACTCATTTCCTCCCCAGGGACTTCATTCCAGAACACAAGACCTAGCCACTGAAAGCAACAAGAGAACAAGAAAATTGACACATTTCCTAGAGAGCTCCAATAACCTGTTTCCAGCCCCCCACACACAGCCTGCAGTCTGACCTCCCGGAGGGACAGTCTTTTCAGATGCATTCTGCCCCAAACACGCCAAACTCAGGGTCCTCTCCTAACTTTCAGGAATTTTGAGTATGAACTCAAAACACAACATGGTCTTACAGAGCAAATGCATTCTTCTACTCAGACCCCTGGCATCTGAACAGACTATCAGGGTGTGAAAACAGCCTAAACACAAACACATCCACACCACAGATACAGAAGGACATAGAATGTAATCCATCCGAGCGGAATGGGCCGAGGGCCATCGTCAGAGCTATCCCAGAGCCGGACTGGGAAGTGGCCTCCGGTCCTCAGGGAGTACGCTCCTCTCTGTGGAAAAGACCTGTCTCCGTAGCTTTCTCCTCCTCCCACGCCCAGAGCCGGCCGGGCAGTCAACTCCGCAGAGCCGTTTCCTATCATCTCCTAGGCCTCAACCCCAAGTCATAAAACCGGCATTTTCTTCTAGAATTTTTACACCCTTTGTTTTGCTTTTTAGTAATTTATGATTAATATATAATACATGGGACATTTTTTTGCCTAATGGATGATCCATTGTCTCAACGCCATTTAAGAAATAATCCATTTTCTTCTACTTCATTTTTCTTATTCTTTAAAGTGCCGCCTTTACCAAAGTCAAGTCACACACACACTTGTTTTTCCACTCCCTGTTCTGTTCCATTCCTGCATTAATACCTCAGCGCTTTCATCACCATAATTTTTCAATATGTTTTTGTATTTGGGAAGGCAAATGTTCCCGCATTATCCTTTTTCAATTTTTTTGGCTATTACTCGTTAAGTTCTCTTGAAAACTGCACGGAGATGGACTCGAATTTTACAAAATGCACTTACTAATGTACCTTCCACAATTTTAAGATCCTAGAAACTGAATTATTTAAATGAAAATCAAAATCTCACTGGGCTGCCTTAGTACCTCTTTTAGCTTATGAAATACAGACATTTCTAAGACCAGTAGGAGCTGAACTGATTATCTGATTTACAAGAACCTTATATATGAATCAAATTTAAAAATAATTATAAACTTTTCAGCCCATTTCTTACCTTTTCTGCATCTTGAGCTTCCCTTGCACTATACTGTAAAACCTCACATTTCTCACTGTAAGAAAAGGCAAGAAGAAATTCAGTGTAAATTTCCAAGCTTATGCTAATGCACAAATGAATACATGACAGTAAAGTCTACCGCTACAAACACTAAAGCTGGCCATTCTTTGAAGGGGACAATGAGCTGCTCCCGTGGCCTCAATGGCTGAGGAGGGCCTGCTAGCTCCCGACTGGACAGTGATGACAGCAGGTGTGTGTCCCGACTTCCCTTCTGGCTACCCGCCCCCCCACGGGCATGAGAGACCAGGGGCTGAGGGTGGCAGGGCGCACGGGTCACCGCCGCCGCCGCAGGTCCATTACCAGACAGGACAAAGGCACCCAGTGCCTCACCAAGACGTGGGCGCAGAGCAGCCAAGTGGTGGAGGAGGAAGGACGGGCACTCGAGCTGCTAGAATCCAGGAGACAAACCGACTCCGCAGCAGGAAGGCAGCAGCTCAGTTCCCTTAGTCCTTGGCCCTTCGTCTGGACACTGAAAAATCATAGCTAGGTCCCGAAAAGAAGGAGACAGCAGGATGCTCTTTCCAGCACTTCTGCCCATGCCCCCACCACGTTTGACGCAGACAGCTGGCTGCCCGCCCGGGAGATGACTGGAAGCCAACAGACGGGTAAGTCTGCACCTGACAAATGAAGAGGCTGCCTCTGCTACCACCTCCAGACCAACCCGTGGGAGACCTGAGGCCTTGACGCTGGCCAGAGAGGCCAGCGAGGCCGCCCAGACTGGAGGCCCATCACTGCAGAAACGTCTGACCCTCTTCCAGCAAAGGGGCCAGCAGAATGTCAAGGACAGACTACTACTCCCCCCGGGGTCACCTGCACGGCACACAAGAGGATTACACAAGGGACACTGTCTCGTTTAGGAGTCTACAGCACAGCACCCCCTACTGATGGGGTGTAAATCCATAGGGAGTCCAAGACTTCACAAGCTATGCTCAACCTGAAATCCACATCTGACCCTCCACAGTGGTACCCAGCTTCTCCAACCACGAACCCCGTCAGCAGGCCACAGCTTAATGAGCTCAGTGCAGCTGAAGCACTTGTATGGGTATCACTGCTGTGGACCCATACGAACCCCCAGCTTCTTAGGTGCTGTGATTACAGACACGCCTGTATCAGACACTCAAAGGAAGTCGTCCGACTGGATGACCGTTCCTCGCTGCAGCCAGATCACTGCATTTCCTGTCTCACTAAAGACGCATGAAAACGTCAGAAACCACAGGCACAATGACGATGGATCCAGAAAGCCAGAAATCCGCCCTCGTGGCTGGAGCACACGCTGCCCCTCATGCGAGAGCCCAGCATAGTCCCCCCCAAGGGCCCCGCCTCCCACCGTTGCTGAAGAGAAAGGCACAAAGGGCAGTGATCTCCCCCCACAAGCCACACGGAGTCCGACGTAAACCACGTGTGCAGGAGACAGAGTCGTGGACACTCCCTGATGATCGGGGAGGCCGGCTGGCCCGGAAGCATCACTGTCTGCCACACAGCAATGTAAGTGCTCACCATTTGGCTTCCCTGGCGTAGCAGTCACAAGCATGAGCACGACAGGTCAGGAAAGCAGTGACAGGTGCCTCCGGCGCACAGGACAGCACACTTCCGAAGCCCCGCCAGGCGGCAGGCGCTGCGTGGGTGTGCAAGGGGACAAAGACAGGACTCCAGACCATCTACTGAAAACAACTTACAGAGCCAATTTCATAGCCTAACGTTTCCATCTTCCATGTGACTCAATTCAACGAACATTTATTTTCTGGGCGCCTATAACAAGCAGCGTCCCACGGCCAATGCCTCAGTAACAGACAAACTGACAGAGGACACAGGACACAGCAACCCCTCATTCCCACCGGCTTGTCTGTGAAGGGAGGCCGAAACAGAGGGTGGCCAACAAGGGTGTCAGAGATTCAGGGACACCGTCAAGGCCTAAGGAGGGAATTCAAAGCCACCTGATCCCCCAGGCCCACTCTCCCAGGAACCGCCGGGCCTCCCGGGAACAGCAGTGCTGATGGTGACGTTTACAAACAGAGCAGAGTAAATGTCTCTTCACGAGTGAATACACGGAGGTTTGCCAAACCCAGCTATAGCTCAAGCTTAAATACATTCAAAATCAAGGTAATGAAGATAAAAAACATATTCTCCAACAATTTTAAGCATAAATGTTGACAGAGTCAGAAAATACATATTCCTATGGTAGTTCACTGTGCCTCCTAAATTCTCTCAATATGACTCTGGCCAAAGCCGCACTGTTCTTCACGCGTTCACAAAGGACACATAACAAGACCGCGTCCTGGTCGTGAAAGAAGAGCTGACACAAGAGAGACCAGCTCGGGTGCAGACAGGCATTCAGAGCCCCTCGGATGGCGGCCACCAATCGTACCCAGTAAATCTGCTTTGCTTCAAATACTGACATTCAAGCTCAAACACACTTCTTATTTAATTTTGATTTTATTGCTAAATTACTAACATTCTAACAATTTTATCTTCTAAGGTTAGCCGCTATAAATATATAATATGTAACTAAATGACTTTAAATAAACAGACCCAGAAAATCTAAAACTGTTTCTGTGGGGAAACACCTCCTGAATTCTAAAACACAAAGACTTATAAACTTTAGATAACCTATTCATGATAGGTTTCTTAAAATTTCATGTAAAAATTGTTAGTTCTAGTCAAATTTCCCAGTGAATTTCCAAGAGAAAACCTCAAGAGGCAAGTACATCACCGAGCTGAAGCAGGATTCTGGTCTACAATCGAACACTTACGTAACACAGGCTGCACAGAAACTTTCACGTAGGTGTCCTTTTAAATGTGACAAATGACCTCTAATGTAAGGGTTTCCGCAACTCCACACAGCTTGAGCTATGACAGCAGACAGACCATATATGTTCAGAAGACAGAGCTGACACAGCAGGACCACGAGGGGAGAAACCAATGCCCGCGGCATAATGAGTCTCTGTGGCAGAAGAGCGCATGACCTACAATTTTTAAAAATCTATACTATGCTATTCATTTGGAAAAATCAAATTAAATCCCACACAGACATTCACAGATCCATCCACTGTTCTCATCATACAAACTGCTGAAAGCGAGCTCCATTAGACTCTCCTGAAAGCAGGCGAGGGGATGGTCCCCAGCCGGGAGGCCAGCCCGCGCGCGGTGTCTTCAGGTGAGCACGCTAGTCTGCAGCGCGACCGTCGGCCGCGGAAAGGTGCCCGCTTCTCACGGAGACAAGTGCATAACCTCGAGCCTGTCCTGTTTGCTACCACGTGCTACACGTGTTACTTGAGAAACACACACCTACCCGAAGCGCCTCTTCTTCCCTTCACCTTGGTCTGCCCGGTGCACAGCGAGACAGGACTAGCAAAGCAAGAGCGCCGCCGTCGGCCATGCGGGGACATGGCCGGGGCAGGTATCCGTGCCGGAACAGAGACGAATAAATCCACACCGCGGCTGCTTACGAGCGCAGCAGCACGACTCGGTGCCCACCGCCGACCGACCCAGCCCCACAAACACGGCCAGACACTCCGCTCAGACGTGCACTTTTCCCTTTCAGGTGGTCGATGCTGGTGACAAAGAAAGCAAGCAAGCAACCTGGAAACTTGGTAAGGATTACAATGCAAAACAGAGGTCCATTTTCTCCATGTGGAAGTCTAAACCTCCTGACCCATGGTGGCGCGAGCCCCCTGGACTTGAGAAACATCCACCCCCCCTGGGAAGAAAGGAGGGGAGCTCATTCCCCCAAAGTGCGAGTCTCCGCTGCTCATCAGAGGGGAACGCGCTGTCCTACTGGGACTTAGCAGAGGCCGTGAAGGCCCCATATTAAGTCATAAGAACACAACACTCCACACCAGAGCACCTCACATCCTCAGCGCTGCCTGCTACCAAGGACTCTGAATGCCAAGCTGGGGACGCTTCTCAGTGATGCACGGAACACCCTGACCTGTCCGATTTCTCAAAGTGGCCCGCGGGCAATGACACCGTGGGGAAGGCCTGCACATCAACTCCCAGGCCGACAGCATTTGTGACACTGTGCTGAGACTCATGGAGCTCAGCACACTGAGAGGGGGTGGGGGCACTGAGTAAGGAGCAGCCGTGTCCACCCTTAGGAACTGTCGTGTTAGTCACTGCCGAGCAACGACTTCCGCACTCCGTGAGCAGCCACAAGGCCTGCAACCGACTACGGTGGTAGTTACGCAAAATGCAGAACACAGTATCGCCTGCCCCGACTTGTAAAGATCTGAGCACTGTTCTGCTCCACACAGGGATTTGGCCAGAGAGAAGCGTGCTCGGCTGGGCTACCCAGCCAGGGAGGAAGCAGTTGGATGCTCAACACGGAAAGCGGCGCCCCCTGGGCCGTGCAGAGGCGCACGTGAGCCATGGAACACAGCACGTGAGGCTTCAGGAGCGAACTCCCACTGCAAATCAAGTCTGAGCAACCAAATGATGCAAGGGACGCTTACGATGGCCGCTAAACATACTTCGTGATCAGGAAGCCCTCGAGGAGAAGTTCTTGAAAATAACCTCAAAGTAAAGGAAAACCTCACCCTGATGACAAGTTGAATTCAGGCATTATTATCTAAAAATTCTATTTGAGAATTTGTCAGGACACCCTTTCTCAGTTGATGTTTTGTAGTCAGAAGATCTCAGAGTTTTGGAACTGACATGCGAGGGTCAACCATCTCTGCTTCTTCTGCTTATTCACATATGTCTATACATTCTCCTGAGCATAGATTTACAAACCTGATTTTTTTCTACACCTCTGATCCTCTAAACAGGGCAGTACAACAGGAAGACAGGGACCCAGAGCTCACCCTGCTCTGTACTGCTGCTAGGAAACAGCACAAGAGAGAGGCAGGAATGTAAGCATCAACACTTATGGTTAAAAAAACTAGTTTTCAATTTACAAATCCAACGTTTCTTCCAAAGTTACTATAACTTTGTTTTTAATCACAATTTTATACATTAAAGTCTTAAACAAAGGCATGAGATTTTTGGGCATCAAGAGGCTTAAGTTTAAAACAGTTTAAGACAAGCTACTAGAGATCAACAGAAGAGATCAAACACCTCCTTCCAGTGGGACTCGAGGGACAGTGGCCCCCGACTTCCCTCTCACACACCGGCAGCCAAGGACCACAGGACGACGAGCAGAGTGGGGGAACACTTCCCTTTGTGCTTTCAGAAAAGAAACAATGAGAGCGGGAGGAAGGAAAGAAACAGGAGGATCTGGTGGGATTTCATTTAATCCAAACCACCATTAAGAATAACTTTTGAAAGGATCTACAGGGATTTCTTGTCCTCCATGAATTCTCTGTACGGATTCAAGCAGCACTTTCGAGCAAGCCTTCCAGGAAAACAGCAATGTCTGGCTGCCCCCTCAGGTCAAAACACAGGAGTTCTCTGATGCTAACACCCCATCGTGGAATATAGCATGGCTTTATTTCCAGCCTCAAATGATCTTAGAAATAAAACAAAGAAGTATGGACTGAAAAACCAAAAAACCCCCACCAATCAAGCTGAAATGTGTGCTGTCATTTTTGCTTATAAACATGCGATTAAAACACCCCAGACATGGGGCGCCTGGGTGGCTCAGTCATTAAGTGTCTGCCTTCAGCTCAGGTCATGATCCCGGGGTCCTGGGATTGAGCCCTGCATTGGGCTCCCTGCTCCGCGGGAAGCCTGCTTCTCTCTCTGACTCTGCCTGCCGCTCCCCCTGCTTGTATTCCCTCTCTTGCTGTGTCTCTCTCTGTCAAATAAATAAATAAAATCTTAAAAATAAATAAATAAAATAAAATAAAACACCCCAGACAACATCCATTGTAGTAAGAGTGAACTCCTGGGCTGCTGGGAACAGGGAACCATGTGTGGAGATGTTGCAGTCATAGAAATCAATCATGCATTTAGCTCACCTCATCTCCGGCAGGAAGGTTTTCTTATAGGAGTTCTCGATGTCCTGCAGATAGGCGGAGCTAATCTTCATTTCATGTGGCTTTAAAAAAAGCAGGAAAAAACAAGTGGAACGTTTAGACTTTTACTTGTGCACCTGTAAAAGGGAAAAACAAGCAACAAACACGGTTTTCTTGGAACAACTCATGGGTGTTGCAGAGATTATAGGAAAGAGGCCTTGGTATTGATCAGGGTCATCCTCACTGTACCACAGCGATGCACCCACATTTGCCCAGGGAATGCCATGGCATAACCTTTCAGAGACGTTAAGATGCATGCTTAGAATGGGATCAGGAAGAACTCCCTTGGCACGTACAGCATGGCATGGGATATGGTACACACATACACGTAGAGCACACGTATGAGGACACGCGTGCACATGTATACAGAGCCTGGCAGCTAAGACCATGACAACAGGGGGACTGGCCCACTTCTCCCCCCGCCCTCACACCCTCCTCTCCTCCACCGACTCCCTCCTGCCTTCTCCCCTCACTCCTCACACACCCCAACCACCTCTCGCACTTCCTCCACTGCTCGCCTCCCCTGTCCCCTGAAGCGTGCTAAGCCAAATTCAGAAACTGAAACCTCCACGTCTGAGCAGCCAGTCTCAGTATCTAAAACCTTGCAGTGTAGCAATGCTATGGGCAAGTCGCGTTGTCTTCTATCTCGTGTTTCTTCATGGCACTGACCTCCACCTGGTACCTTCCTCTGCTTCCCTGTTTGCTGTTGACCCCCACACGCAACTCTACACCTGCATCACTGCATCAGAAAGAAGATCTATTCTCTCCCAGGAGAAAACACTCCAAGCGGGAGCGATGTCTGCAGACAAGAACCAGACCGAACGGCAGTGACGTCTTCGTGCTCCGTGTCCTGCCTCGGGCCTGCCGGGCCAGGGAGCAACAGCAATCCCCGGCTTCAGGCCATCGAACGCAGGCCCAGCCAGCACCACACGCACAGAGACCGAGGCCCCACCGTTCTAGTCACTACGCAGGGGAAGGAGGGAGAGGGGCTCAACCTGAGCTAGGAGGGAAGAGCTGAAAGGATACCAGAAATCACATTTGATCCGCAGACAGAGAATAGGGTGCAGAAACCCCACTAGAGTACTGGAAGGTGCAGGGCACAGGGGCCTGCCACCAGGACACTAACCCTCTTCAAGGGGTGGCTTAGGGGACAGGTGACGGCGGGATGGTGCTCAGGGCTGCAGGGCACTGCTGGAGGGCAGTGACTGACCAGGGCCCCCTTCCACCCTCCACACAAGGGCCCACGTTCAGGGGCCCCACTGTGTGGGCCACCCATCTCTGTGAAGGCCCGCAGCGCCTGACAGCAAACTGCCGTGACCACCACCAGGAAGGGCTGATCTGCAAGGACACGTCGAGATAACGAGGACACGTAAAAGAGCGTGGGCTGCAACTGAAAAGCTGAATTACGTTTCCTTTCTTCTGAATCCGACTCTGGATCTCTGGAACGGGCGTGTCGATGTAGATCACCACGTGAGGAGGCAGATATTCCCTGATGGTGACCTTCTTCACCTCGTTGTAGTGGTCCACACCTGCACACGAGAGAGAGGCACGTCTGTCACACACAGGCCACCGCAGGCACTCCCAACACGCGCGCCTGCGAGTGAAAGGGCAGAGAGAGATGCAGTGCCCAGAGCCACGTCAGTCGGTGAGTCACAAAAGCACAGCTGTCAGCACGGGCAGCGTGCCCGCGACACGGGGCCCCTGCAGGTGCTGGGATGGCAGCCCTGCCCCGCAGCGCTTCTCGTCCCCGCAGAACGCAAGCACCGGGCCCGGAGACCGCACGCCACAGCCACAGAGCGGGACGATGGGACTTACACGCCGGCCTTCGGAACATCCTAAAGGCCGGATTCTAAGGGCATCCTGGCCACAGAGAAGGCCGGGGAGGGCACACAAGCGTCCCCTCTGGCAGCCTGCAGCGGGAACGCGTCACATACACCCGCTGTGCAGCAGTAACAGATACGGTCTCATCTTCTCCAGCAAGTACAGACCTTTCTTACTTTCTTTTTCAAATAACTCAACTGAAAAATGGGAAGCTACATTTACTTGGTTTCAGTGTATTTCAGTAAACTTAACCAGCTACGCAGAACTACCTACTGAGGCAGATTTAGTAACACAAAATAAAACAGAAAGCAAGGCCGAGAGAGCACCCTCCCTGGGTTACTGCTGTGCAGGACAGCCATGTACAACCCGCGGGGCTAAAGAACACACGTGCTGTTTGGAGGACACCCTGCACCTCGACGTCCTCTGGCGCACAAGGACCCTACCAGAAAGGCAGCGCGCACGCTGGGTCACTGGAATGAAACCACCACCCTTGCCCGCCACAAGAGCAACACCAAGAAACTGCCACCTCTGCAGAAGTTCACATGGTGGGGCGCCTGGGTGGCTCAGTTGGTTAAGCGACTGCCTTCGGCTCAGGTCATGATCCTGGAGTCCCAGGATCAAGTCCCGCATCGGGCTCCCTGCTCGGCAGGGAGCCTGCTTCTCCCTCTGACCCTCCCCCATCTCATGTGCTCTCTGTCTCTCTCATTCTGTCTCAAATAAATAAATTTAAAAAAAAAATCTTAAAAAAAAAAAAGAAGTTCACATGGTGGAAACTTCCAGAAGCGACCAACTTCAGGGCTCACACTAGGAGCCACAGAAAGACAACCATTTTGCTCTAGAGGAAATGTTCAGGTGACCACTGCAGTGAGTCCGGTTTCAGCAGCCTCACAAGACAGACCTTTGGCCCAGGTCAGCAGGGGTCTGAGCTGGAGGAAAACAAAGATACACAGGTGGTGCCATGACAGTGAGTGACCGAGGCTCCCGTGGGGGTACTGTTCTCCCGTCCGCGCAGGAAACAGCCGGCCTCATCTCGGCTTCCCACCTGGGCAGCCCGAAGCCAGGCCAGCCACACCCGCCCTCAGGCAAGCATCCTGCTCCGTATTCCTGTGAGCACTCCCACTTCGGAGGCAACCTTCCACCTCGCGGTACCATCTACTCTGAAGTCCTCTGTTCCCCCCGACCCAACACGGAAACGACTCTCACTAGTCATCGGCCTCCCCCAGGGACCTCTTCAGTTTCTGTCCCACGAAACCCTGCACACTCCATGTGACGACTGTCCCCCTGCCACCCTCACAGACCCCACTCAGCTTAATTCTGCAGCAGGCTTCCCTCCCCAGAAACCCAGAAGCCCAAGGATCCTGGCCTCAGTGCTTGCCTCTCACTCTGGGCTTTCCGGGGACGAGTGCATCCCTGGTCCAGGCCAATCTCCCCAAACCACATCTGTGATACACAGCCACCTGCCAGAATCTCCCCCCAGCCATCTCGTGGGGACCTCAAACTCAGCACACCCGCGCAGGACCTCCTTCCCAGCCCGCCGCCACTTCCCACCCTATTCACGGGGCAAGAAGCCTGGTGAATCCACTTTTACTCCCCACCTTCCTCCCGCAAAGCTGCCCACCCAGTGTGGCCGTCATCCTAACGTGTGCCATCCTGCTCTGACCTCCCCCACCTCAAGCCTCCTTCCCTTTGATTTCCCGTCCCCAAACGCATCCCTCAGATGAACGAACTCGACACAGCCACATCCTTCCCGCACCTAACACCTTCGGTGGCTCCTCAGTACTTTCAGGAAAAAGCCAAGCATCCTCTGTGGGAGCGCAAGCCTCTCCTTGTGCCCCCCCATCTGCCTCTCCTGGGCCCCCCGCCGGCAGCACCGGCCTTCCCCACCATCAACACCGCAGGCGCCTCCAGCCATGCTTCCCCCAGCTAAGCCGCCGCCCTGCTGCCCTGCTGCCCTGGGCTCCCTCCTCCAGGACACTGCTGCTGACAGCACCCCGTCTCCTGGCCAGTGAAGAGTCCTCCTGTGGGCCCCCACAGCCCCTGGAGGAACAGGCATCGATGCTGCTTTCATGCCCGCCCCGGCCAGGACGGCAAGAGCCTTCCTTGTCTTCTGTCGTCTTCCCCCTGGCAGCAAGGACAAAGCCTGGCACCCCAGAAACACTGGCCAACGGACCTCAACTGCTGCTTGGAGAGCCCGGTGAGGACCGGTGCCCTGGTCAGAAGCAAGGCGCTGGCTGCTGCTTCTGCAAGCAGAGGCAAGCCGCCCTCACGGCAGAACATGCAAGCAGACAGAGTGGAGCGCCTCAATCCCGAATCTCTTCTGGCTTGCCCAGCTCTCCCCATTCACTAACCAGCCCCCCGGACTCGGCCCCCCAGGGCTAAGCTGGCCGCCAGCTCCAGGCAGCCGAGCACTCAGGTGACAATGTCCATGGGCAGACTGAGCACAGGGCCCCCCACCTCTGCCCTGGCACACGCCTCCTTAGACACCCCGACCCCACCCTGACATGCTTCCCTAACTCCTCGGTCAGGCCACGTTTGACCAGTCCCCACCCTTGTCCGTGTCCACTGTCAGACCTCCAACAACCCCCACACGGTGCTGCTGTCCCTGGAAGCACCAGAACAGGGCCACAGCAGACAGAAGGAAAAGACAATGAGATGCTGGCTGTCACGCAGGTGCGGGCACAAGAAAAACAGACATCCTAATGACATACAAAATCATACACTAGAAACTGGTTAGTTCAGCGAAATTAAAGTAGATCAGAGACAGTGGCAAGGCTGAAGAGAGACAGGGCCGGGGAGATGCGATTTTGGGCAAGGTTGGGTGGAGCCCCTCTGCTTTCACCGGGAGATAGGAATTTAGGAGGAAAAGGGGGTGGAAGGAACCCTCTTTCTTCCTGTTAATGTAACAAGTAATGGCACTTACACATGTATTTAACAGACGTGCAGAGTGCACACTAACTGCACAGGAAGTCTGCAAGAGCCTTTACAAAGCGACACAACCCATCCAGAAAGGCCCGCCTGCAGCCCCGACTCACACTGCTTCCGGATGAATCCCTGGTTATACATCGCCTCCAAGAAAACAAAGTCACTGAAGATGGAGCGCTCCAATACAACACCTTGTCCTGTTAGAAACGGGGAAACAAAATCAAAAGTCAGACAGATAAAAACCAAGGCACTGGAAATGAGTAACTTCATTTTTAGAAAGGCAAAAGTTATTTACAACACCCTTTGCATACCAAATATTTTCAAAAGCACAGACGTGCTCTTCTAAGTGAGAAATCATTTTCAAAAGTGAGAACACTTCTGGTTCAGGCAAAGTAACATTGTCTCACCCTGTCAGCTATAACCTATCCAGTTACAAGGAAGGCATTTCTGTCTGAAACCACAGCTTTCCCATCCCATCTACCCACCCCAATCCCGCCCCGGCCCGACCACTCGGCCAGAACCCAGCGGCATCCACGACTCTCTCCCCGTGCCCCGTGCCCAATTCAGGAGTAACCACCAGCTTCCTCCCAAGCACATCTTGAACCCGACCGTTGTGCACGGCTTCCACAGCTCCCCCCCACAGAGCAAGGCCTCCCAGCAGCTGGCAAGCTCCCGGCCCCAGCCACCAGCTAGGCCCTGCCTCCGCCCTGGCCCCCGGCCACTCTCCCAGCAACAGATGGGCACCGTCAGAGCTTGAGCCAGCTCACACCTCCAGAGGAAAAGCCACCTTGCCCAGGCAACTTCTCTGACCCCATCCTGTCCACTCCGAGCCCACTCAAGGCACTCACGTCACAGTGGCCTCCTGTGACCACAGCCGCTCTGAGCACTGTCCCCACCAGGCTCCAGCCAGTGTCCTTGCACTCGGCCCTGCTGCGTCACCTCCCCACGTGGAAGCACGGCCCCGGCCCCACTGCAAAGCCCTTCAAGCCTCTCACTACCGGACGCGACACTGAACGTACGCACGTTTACGCTTTCTCTCCCTACCAGTGTCAGCTCCAGCAGGCGGCAGCCTTCGCTCCTCCGCCCAGGCTCCTAGAACGCACCCAGCCCACGGCAGGCACTTACACAATGTGCAATGATTAATGGAACACAGGAAGAAACGGGGTTTCATTTAAAGTGCTCCTTCTTCACTCTAAGAAACAGGGAGTCCTGAGATAGGGTTGAAGTATGCTTCGAGAAGAATCTGGGGTAAGCCAAGTCTCAGTATTACATCCAAGGACCAAGCAGTTCCTACGAGCCAGGTCCTGGTACAGACCATCGTAAGGGAGACCGCATTCTTTCTCAGGAGCAGCACTAACCAAAATCAGGGCTTACGTTCATCTGAGGAAAAGCGTCACTAAGAAAATTTTGGAAAAGCAAGACAGTCACTAGACTCCTTTGTAAGTGTTCAGATAGAGCGACTCCCGCACCTCGGGGCACGCACTGTGTACAGGGACCCTGCTGGCTCAGCGCAGGTCTGTGGACAGTGCCGTCCGTTCCCGGGGGCCCTCGTTACAAGACCTTCCCGCTCACACCCATGACGCACCCCCCGAGGCGGCAGCGGAGCTGTCCGTAGATGAGCTCACCGGGTAACTGACGGCCGCCCCAGTGTGGCCACCACAGCCGTAAGAGGCGGGCACAAGGCTCCTGGGCGCAGACACACTGTTTGCCACCCACAGCTTCAGCGCCTCCGAGGCCTGGGGCTCTGGCCAAGCACGGCAGGGTCTGCGCGCCCCGCACGCTCGGCGGGAGGGGCCAAGTTTAATGCACGCTGCCGGTACCCAGGATGCTGCCATCCCTCCCGGACCGGACCCTGTTCTGCGCTGACTTTACGCCCTGACCACTGCTGCTTGTCTCCCCAATCCCGAACAGTGCCTGCCCCCCTATCGGCCCTTGTCCATTTCTTGCCGGCTTCCAGAAACACAGCCCCCTTTCACCGGACGGGCCCGTGGGGCCCTGTGTGCTCTGCCTCCCCACCTCTGCACTTTCTCCAGGGTTAGGAGCGACCAGGGGATGGTGAATCCCAGACCATCCCTGGCCCTCAGAAACAGGCCTGTTTGGGGTGTCCCATCTCTGCGTGACCACGGCTCCACCGCACGAGTGTGATTCCTCTTTGTCACAGCCCTTTACAGGCTCTCTTTCCTGCATCTGTGGATACCTCTCCCCCATGAGCCTAGAGCAGCGGCTCGGAAATTCCCGACACTCCATAAACCTCACCCCAGTGCACAGAAATGAAATAATATTAAGCGCGCTTTATTCTGAAGCAGGAATAATGTGAACCTCGGGGAGTTTATGATCTTATTAAGAAGACAGAACTTGCCTCATCAAATACCCTCAAAGAAAAGCCCTACTTAGTGGCAATCTAAAACGGCGGGACCGCACAACAGGGGGGCCGCACCCGTGCTCAGCAGGTGCTCCAAGGCGTCCGCGTACTGCAGGAGGCGGCTGGCGTACAGCCAGGACTGCAGGCGGTAGCTGTTGCCGTCATTGCTCTTCGGGTCGTCGTAGAACTTCTCCACGCTGCAGCTGCCGCTGAGCTCTATGTCCAGGGCCCTCCCATCTCCCGTGGTGCTGTCTGCGTAATGCACCCCTGCCTCCGGGAAGTGCTTTAAGCCTGAGAAGAAGAAATGCGACATGAGCGTGTCACCTGCCCTCAGCAGGCAGCCGGGACTCACAGAAACAAAGCCCCATCCGGACACATCGCAGAGGCTGGTCGGTTAGGACCCGGGCAAAGTTACCCTCACGCCTGTGTCTACACAGGATGCTGAAGACAATGTGTCCAGAACAGCTGCGTTACAGGGTCCCCCTGGTGCCCCCGCGGGAGAGCCTCCCAAAAAGGAGAGCGGGCCCAGCGCTGCAGGAGCCCCTCACGTATGAGCGGGCACCAGCCAGTCAACTACTGCAGGAAAGTACGACAGACAGACATCTTGACCAGGAGTCAGGGAACGGGGTTCAAAGCCTGGCTTTGCGCTAACCAGCCGTGTGACAGCAGCTTCTTATCCATCTGGGAATGACAGCAGTAATCACGGCCCTACTCAGAGGAGTGCTACCAAGCTCAAATAAGACCGCTCATGTGAAAATGCTCTGCGGACATTATCAAGAAAAAATTCCAATTCAAATTGACAACAGTATGGGTTTTTAAAATGTTCATTAAACTTAACACATTAAAAACAGCTTTTAATGTATTTTAAAAATGTAAAATACATACCCAGGGCCCAATTCTACCTAGTCAATGCTAAAGTAAAATCGAACTCAGATAAGCAACCGTGCACCTGGGAGGAAGGTACTCCACAAGACAGAAGTCCGTACCTAATTTCTCTGCTATTTCTTTCGCAAGCTTGCCTTTTCCAGAACATATATTGCCATCTACAGTTATCACCTTGCTGCGTTCTGTGAATCTTTTGGTTGTTCTTTCGCCGAGTATGTACGCCAAAGGGCCATACCGTAGCCTGCACCGTACACTTGTGTGAATTCTCGCCTGAAAAACACAACAGCATGCGGTTACTGCAGCAGCTATTAGGTAAAAATGCCAAGAAGACCCCTGGTGACAAAAATGCCAACATCTGCATTTTTATTACCTACTGACTTGTTTAATTATCGGTCTCCCTACCCCACCCCCAGTGTAAGTTCATAAGGATAGGGGAACTGTCTGTTGTGTTCACTGCTAAATCCTCAGGGCCTGGAACAGAATATGCATACCGTGTTCAATAAAAGTTGGATGGATGGATGGATGGATGGATGGATGAAAGGATGGATGGATGAAAGGAAGGCAGGGAGGAAGGAAGGAAAGGGAAATAAGAGAGAAAGGGAACAGAGCATTTTTCTAGGCCAGACTTCTATCCTGAGCTCTGGACCCAGTTACCTGCCTTTAAACAGCTCCATCTAGAGGTCCTGAAAATATCTGAAAGCTAGCAGGCTTAAAACTGAAATTTAACATCCATACCCTAACCCCCAAATCTGCTTTCCCTCCCACAGTCCCTATCCACTATCCAGCAAGCAAATCGGAACACACATGGGAATCACTTTGGGTATCCTCCACCTTCCTCCAACCCTATCATTACTCACAAAATCCTACTGACCTTAACTCTTAAACCTCTCTGGAGCCAACCGTCTCCTCCTTATCCCCGCCACAATGCTTTTGCAGACATCTCACATCTCTCGTCTACGGTGCAATGCCTGCCGCATGTCCTATCTCCAACAAATCCAGTCCATTCTCTGCTCAAAAGGCAAATGATCTACCCCCACCACCACACGCACAAAACACACACACACATCAAGAAAGAAACACAATCAAAAGGCAAACAACTAAGAAAATCCTTAGCGTATATATAGATTGTATGGATCAATGAGGAATATTGATAGAATAAGGAAAAATAGGAATGCACAGCTTATTTTGAAAGATTAAAAATAGCCAAAAACCACATGAAAAAAATGTTCACTCACTTATGTATTCATTCAACAAGTATTTATTAGGAGCCTACACAATGCAAAGCATGTTTTCTAGACAACGGATTTATGGAAATGAGCCAAAGGATTCAATGGGACAACAAAACAAAGAAGTAATTACAGTTGAGCCTTGAGCAATGCAGGAGCTGGGGTGCCGACCTCCTCTCTTCTGTGCACTTGAAAATCCATGTACAACTTTTGACTCCCCAAAAACTTAACTACTAATACCCTACTGTTGACTGGAAGCCTTACTGATAACATGAACAACTGAATACACATATCTTGTTACATGTATTATTCACTGTTTTCTTACAATAAAGTAAGCTAGAGAAAACATTAAGATCATAAAGAAGAGAAAATACATTTACAATACTGTACTTATCAAAAAAAATCAAGTAAGTGGACCCATGCAGTTGAAACTTGTGTTGTTCAGGAGTCCACCGCACAGAGCATATTAAATAATCGCCATGGAGGGCAGCACGGCATATGGGATGGGCCACAGACTATACTGGGAGGCCAGGGAGCCTTTGAAGAGTGACATTTGAACAAAGACTGGAAGGTGCCAAGTGGATATTTGGAAGAGGGTCTTTCAGGCAGAGGAAACAGTAAGCAGAAAAGTCCTGGAGCCAAAGCACTGCAAGATCAGCAAGGCCAGCGCAGCTTATGCCAAGTGGACTAGGGAATGGATGAGGTGAGTAAGGGGGTGTTAATCATAACGTACCTCGCACCCTACAAATTAATCACTCTTTCCTCCAGGCTACCTATGAGCCACGTGCAAACTGCTCCCATGTGTGTGCACGACTTGATCGTCTCACAGATGTGGCACAAAGCAGGTGCACGGCAACGTTTGATCAAGCAATCAGCCACTTACTGACTGCAATCTTTAGAAAGTGCTTTCTATATAATTGTGGTACAATTCTCTAAAATTTCCCATCCTCAGTCCCGTTTACTGCTCTCTAGAATCATACAGAATAGATCTTTCATGACACATTTCCAGTTCCTTCCACTCTTCAAGTAACAAGGCATATACCCTTTCCATCTTACTCATTTTTCTCTGGACTTGCTGAAGTTCATCTACATCCCCTGTAAAAGTACCAGGAAGCGAACACACTGTTAACAAGGGGGTCTGTCTAGTGCTTGCACTGCAGCAGAGTATGACCCCCTTAATTCTGGGCCCCCCACTTCCACTAACACAATTCCCAGAACACTGGGTATTAAGAAGGTAACCACTTTTCCACGTTTCTTCTCTTTGGTGGCCTGAGTCACCTCCTGAAAACACGCACGTGACTTTTTACAAGACTATGACACTGCTCTACTCAAAATCCTTCGCGCAGAATCTTTAGCACGGAGATCAAGCAAGTCCCTTTACAGTCACTCGGACACGGACGCAGGGCCAGGCACGAGCAAGCGAGGAAGCGATTCTACAAGCACCGTTATAAATAGTCTCGCAAGGGTTCCGGCCTCGGTTCTTCGGCTTCTTGTGTTCCCTCCGCCTGACGTCATCCCGCCAGTGTCCACCGTGGGAAGTTCCCCTAAGCCGTCCTCATCTAAGCCAAGAGCCTCTTCGGCTTCTGCTCCACGGCACAGCCCCGCGGCGCCGGGCCAGGGCTGAGCCCTAGCTGCGTTTGACCGCGCCGCGCCGTTCGTCAGCGGACAAACCACCCCGGGCTCTCCCCGGCTCTCCCACGCCTGCTCGCGCGTCCAGCGCCCAACTGCACGGAGGCACCTGCAAGCCGACCTCCCGCGCCAGGGCAGCCAGCCAGGCGGCCGATTCACCTCCGTCCCCAGCGTTCTGCTTGGAGAACGTGGCCTGGAGAAGCTCCCGGCCCCTGTGAGCTCTGCCGCAACTCAGGACCCACGCCGGGGGCAGCGCGGGTCCCCCGGACAGTGACCCTAAAGCCGCTGCCCAGACGCCCGGGCAGCCGAGGAAGGGTCGGCGCCGGGAGGACAGGCCAGCACCCCGCCCCCCGCCCGCCTGCTCCCCGCCTCACCACGCGCTGGGCGACCACCGCCAGGCCCTGCGCCGACGCCGACGCCGACGCGGGGACCACTCTCAGCAGCCTCGAGGCCATTGCTCCGCGGTCGGCCCCGGCTCAAGGACCCGAGGGGACGCGGTCGCGACGGGGTCCTCTTCCGCGGCCGGCGCGCCGCCGTGACGTCACGGCCGGGCTGCCCGGGCGGCGCCTGCCGGGAGCTTCCGGGCGACGGGCGCAGGCGCCGAGAGCGGGGTCTGGGCTGCCGGCCGCTGGCCGCACGGGGCCGGCTGCCCTCCGCCTGCGCCCCGCGCGGGCCTTGCAGGGTCCGGCCGCCCGACCTGGGCCTGGGGCCGCGACAGAGGCTCTGGAGACCCTCTGCGGGGGTTCCGAGGTCGTGCGGGGCGCGGAGCCGAGGCCTCCCCCGGGCTGGCAGCTGCTGCGCCCGGGACGCCCCCCGCCCTCCCACATTCCCCGGGCGGGCAGGTGCAGACCTCAAAGTCACCTGGACCTCTCTCGGTGGCCCGAAGCCCGTCCGAGCCCGGAAGGTAGCTCGGGACCGGGCGGGGCAGGGGCGGGAGGCAGCCACGATGGCGGACATGGCCCCTCCGCCCCGGGGCGCCGGGCAGGGGTCCCCGTCCTCGTCCTCCCGGCTGGGTTACGAGGGCCCCCAGGCCTGATGGGGCCTGTACACCTCGGATGGCATCCGAGCGCACAAGCGCAGCGGGCTCTCGGTTAACTGCAGTCCTTCCGGGGCTCAGGTTAGCACGAGTTGACTTTAACGCGAGGTTTCTTTCCTACTGGCCTTACGTTCGGGAGGGTTTTAGCGTCGCACGTTGTCGGGCTCATGGTTCTTAACTCCCGAAGTTTTCTGTCGTTTAACTGCCATTTGGTTCTCAACTTTTCGGAATGATAGGGTGGGAATGCGGTTCTGGAAACGAAGGTCTTGCAGCAGGTATTTCCCTAATTCGAAAATTCCTGCTGGGCCGAAATGCAGAGCCCTAGTCCGCGGAGCCAGAGTGACTTAGAAGATCTGGGATGGGCCCTGAACTGCGATGGAAATGGTCTGCATTGAGAGAAACACGGTTCTAAACCCTTCGTTCCCAGAGAGCAGGGGCCATGTTCACGTCCTGCCCCGTGTCCCCAGCCCCAAGCAAAGCTCCTGACACGTTGCAGGTGCACCTCCAGTAAGCAGGTGCGACCAGGGAGCCCTAAGCCCTCCAGCCCCATGGGGTCACCACCTACCAAGGCCTCCCTCCACATCTTGTCTCGGGTCAGAGTTCAGGGAAGGGCTCTCTGTCCTCTTCTCATCTTGCTTTGTTATCTATCCCATTCACCTGTTGCCTCTAGCGCTCCAGTTTTCTTGCCCAGCTTTACCCTAGATGAAGACACATCTTTTATGTTCTTTCCCAAGACAAAGCCCTTGTGTGAGCAACTGGTCCTGAGGGCAGAGTGAGACAGAGAGAGAGACCACAGTCACACATCCCTGCCAGGTGATGCATGGTCAGGCCTCGCAGGCCCTCTCCACCACTGTTTTGGGAGCTGCCTCCCTGTCAAGGCCTCTTCCAGACCTGGCCTCCTCTCCTCCCTGGTACCTCCTCCAGGGATGGATCCTGAGACAGAACGACAGGGGACAGAGTCCGTGGGGCACAGCTCTGAACACTAACATTCATGATGAATATTGAAGTAAGAGATATTATATATAATGCTTCCCAACTACTCTTTGTAAATCAAAATTTATTTAAACAGGTTAATCTTGTAACTACAGTAAGTTAAGCTCTTGGTACACAGAAATAGATAATATGTTTCAAGTGTTCCTCGTTGTGAGACCATTCATAAACACTGTTATGGGACTTTGGTAGCCAGCTCCAACCAGTACTGTCTTTCCCTGTCCAGAAACACTGGAAAAGGAAAACATGCACTCAGGAAATTCACTTCCAAGTGAGCTTCATTTATAAATATCCTGCAAGTTACACTTCTGTCCAGCTGCAGTTTGAGTGACCGTATAATCACTACCACAGTGAAACCAAATGAGAGAAAATTCAATGTTGATTCATAAGAAAAAGTTGACGTTTCTGGATCAAGAGGAGATACTTGCTCTATCCTGAGATCACATGCCCTTTGAGACTTTACTAATGAGAGTCACGTTTGTGAGGTATACACTTACAGAACACTATCCCCCAAATCCTAACCTGTCCAGTGTCCATCTGAGATACTACATAATACCTGAGGGTCAGCACCGACTAGCCGTGTAAAGCACATGATGGAAACCTCACCAGACCCGGGCAGTTCCGTGCATGCATCCGGCTGCAGGTACAGCCTGATCTAGGTCTCAAGCAGTATTCTCCCTGGGTCACCTCTGACTTCTGCTTCCCTGAGAACTTGGTACCCCACAAAACCCCGAGCATGGATGTTTGTGGCCGTTGTGTTATAATAGCCAGATGCTGGAGTCGGGTGGGACGTCCTTCAGAGGGGGAGTGGTGAGCAGACTGACAGGTGCACACCAGGGAGCGCGGTCAGCACTGAAGTGGAAAAGAAGAACAAATGAGGAATCGCTACGTGGAGAATGACTCCCGAGAAGGTGTAACTCCATTTACACAACATCTTGAAATGACGTTTCGGAGACAGTACACATTAGTAGCTGCAGGGGTCAGCAGTGGAGGTAGGTTTGCAGGGAGAGGGAGGGAAGTGATGCACTTATAAAAGACCGGCTTGAGGAATCCGTGTGGCGTTGGGCAGTGCAGTGTCTTGATTGTGGTGGTGGACCCAAAACCTACACAGATGAAAACATTCTGTAAAACTTAGCACACACACTGACGCAGACACAAATAAGTACGGGAAATGCGGGAAGTCTGAAGAAGGTGAGTGGACCAAATGAGCATCCACGTCCTGGTGGTGATACTGTATGACAGTTATGCAAATGTGATTGTTGGGAGAAATTGGGCAAAGTTTACAAAGGATCTCTGTGTTATTTCTTAACAACTGCGTGTGAATCTGCAATTACCTCAGTAAAGTCTTTAATAAAGATGTCAGTAGTGTTTATATGGGACTTCTCTGTTCTGTCCCATCATCTGTGTGTCTCAACAATACCACAGACTGAGGACTAGCTATAGAGTAAGTCTCCAAATCGATAGGCTAATTCCTCCAACTTTATTCTCCTTCGAAATTGGTTTAGCTGTTCTACTTCTTTTGCCTCTTCATCTAAAGTTTAGGATCGTCTTCTCTGCGTTTACAGAAACTCTTGCTGCAGTTTGGGTAGTAATTGTGTTAAAACTGTCTAGCAGTTTGGGGAGGATGGGCCTCTTGCTGTGCTGACTCCTCCCACCCCTGCGCAGCAGACGCCCCGCATCTATTTGCGCCCTCTCTAACTCCTGCAGCTGGCACCGCACACCTTCCAGCATGGGAGTTTGGCAGTTTTGGTAGGTCTGCACCTAAGTACTTGAAAAACGTTTAGTGCTTTCGGATGATATTTTAAATTTTGTGTTCCTCGTGTTCGTTGCTAGTACATGACACAGCTGGCTCTTGTGTGCTCAGTTTGTTTCCCGTGGCCTTGCTGAAACACTGTTAGTTCTAGAAGATGGTGTGTCGATTCCTATGCAGACAGCTGTGTCATCTGTCAGGAGCGGTTTTATTTCATTCCTTCCGACCTGGACGCCCTTCACGTCTTTTCCCGTCTTTGCTGCACCAGCTGGAACTCCGGTTCTGTGGGTGGCCGCGGTGGCAAGAGCCGACCTCCTTGCATTCTTAGGGGGAAACACTCAGGTTTTGGCCATGTGTGATGCCAACTCCAGGAGACTTGTAAATGCTCTTCAGGAAGTTGGAGCAGCTCCCTCGGTCCTTTGTTTCCTGAGAATTGCTCATTGTTACCATGAATGACGTTAGATTTTGTTAAGCAGTTTCTCTGCATCTGTTGATAGAAGCATGTGCCTTTTCTGCTCTAGCCTGTTAATACAGTGGATCTCAGTGATTGGATTTTGAATCCTGAACCAACCTTGTATCCCTGGACTAAACCCCACATGGTCATATTGTGTCATACTTTTTGTATATTGCTGAATCCCATTTGCAAATATTTTAAAACAATTTTACATGTATATTCATGAGAGAGATGGGCTGTAGTTTTCACTTTGGACCATCTTTGTAAGGCTATAGTATCAGGATAATACTGGATTCATAACATTACCTGGGAAGTGTTCCTGTTTTACTTTCCCCAACCACTTCTTGTTGGTGGACTCCTGACTGGCCCCTTTGCCAGTGATGCTGGGCTCAGCTGGTGGCACTGGGGGGACTGTCCATCCACACAGAGGAAGAAGGAGCCCCCTGGGCTGGGACTCCTGTACTCAGCACATCTGTCCTTCAGGTGTAAAGGGGGAAACAAAGACATTCTGAGGGGAAGGAACACTGAGAGACGTTTCCAGCAGACCCCACCCCTAAAGTGTGGCTACAGGAGAACCGTGGCGTGGGCGTAAACAGAATAGACCTCCTTCATGAGCTTCTCACATCCCGTCGGATGGTTGAAGCATGTCTTTGTGGAGGAAACAGAACAATCACATGGAGAAATTGGGGAGGGTACAAGGACGTCAACAAAAGTTGACTATTCGCCCGAAGTGGTAAAGCAGGGATATGACAGATTGTGAGCAACTGCGAAAGAAACCGCACGATACAGAACGGCACTGCCCAAACACCACCTCCTAAGCAAGTGGAATTATTATTATGACACTATAACTAAATCAAGATGGATCTCTAAAAAATATAAAGGTTTCCAACCAAAAGGTAAGAGGAAAGAAAGAAAAAGGAAAACAGACATAAGCACTAACAATTACTCGATAACCTAAATTATCCAAATTGATTTTGTAATTTCAAAACTGCCCCCCCCCCAAAAAAATTCCCACACCCAGATGATTTCACTGGAGAATTTTGCCAAACACTTGAAGACTTAACTCTATACAGTCTCCTCTGGAAAATAGAGGAAGAGGGAATGTTCCCCAGCCCATTTTATGGTACCCAGACAGAAAAAGATAGCACCAAAAGAAAGAAAAAAACATAGGCCAATATTTCTCATGAACTTAGACGCAAAAATTCACAATTCACAAAATGTTATCAGATTGAATCCAGCAATGAATAAAAAATGAAGACCACACCACCACCAAATGGGATTTGTTTAAAGGTTGCAAAGCTGATTTGATATTCAAAGTCAGTCACTGCAATCCGCCTTAACAGGTAAAGAAGAAAAATCAGTGGTCAGAACACCTGCAGTAGAAGACACATTTGACAAAATACAACACTCATTCACGTTTAAGAAAAACAAAAACATAACAAAACAGACCGTCCTGGCAAGCAGGGAAGAAGGGAGGAGCTGCTTCAACTTGGTAAGGAACGTCTACAAACCCCACAGCTGACATCACACTTGATGGTGAAGGGCTGATTCTTTCTTATATGAGAGGAAGCAGCAAAGATACCCGCTTTCCCTGCTCTCATTCACCAGGGCCTTGGAATCCTAAACAGTACAGAAAGGCAGGAATAAAAAGGATATGAAAGGAAGAAATTACACTGCCTTTATTCATAGATTACATGATTGGCTAGGTAGAAAATCCAAAGCAATATACCCCAAAGAGCCCCTAGGACTAATAAATGAGGTCTGTGAGCTTGCAGGTTACAAGGTCAATGCACAAAAATCTGCATTTCTATATATTACGAACAAATAAGTGGAGGCTGAAATTTAAAAATGCAATACCATTTATGATTGCTCCAGAAAAAAAAAAAATGTAATACTTACATATCATCTAGCAAAGCATGTATAGGATCTGTATGCTGCAAACCACAAACCACCAGAGAAAGCAGTCAGAGAAAACCAATCGCTGGAGAGACTTGCTGTGTCACTGTGTTGGAAGACTCAGCAGAGCAACAATGCCAGTTCTCCTCAAAATGATTGTAGGCTTCATGCAGTTCCTACCAAAACCCCGTCAAGATCCTTTGTACACATAAACAAGCTTATTATGAAATTTATAAGGAAACATACAGGCCCTAGAATAGCCATAATCATTTTGAAAAAGAATAAAGTGGGGGGAACCAATCATTCTTGCAATGTTAAGAATTTACTAAATAGTAAAAAAAAAAAAAAAAAAAAAGAATTTACTAAATAGCTACATTTCTCAAGCCCGTGCAGTATTGGTGGAGGGACAAACACATAGATCAACAGAACAGAGGACCAGAAATAAGCCAACACAGATACCCTCACCTGATATTTTATAAAGGTACAAATGCAATTCAGTAAAGGAAGGATAGCTTCTTGCACAATGGTGTCACAGAAACTGGACATCCTTGATATGACCTTCACACCATATGCAAAAATTAACTCAAAACAGATCACAGATCTAAATGTAAATGTGACTATACAGCTTTTAGAAAACAGTCCTAGAATAAAAGCTTCAGGACCCGGGATGAGGGGAAGAATTCTTGGACTTGACATCAAGAGCATGATACACAGAAGGAAAACAAGCTACATTGGAACTCAGCAAAATTTAAATGTTTGTTCTACAGGGACTTTACCAAACAGACAGACATCAGATGGGGAGGAAAACGTGTGCAATTTGACAAAGGATTTGCATCTAGAATATGTAAAGAGCTCCCAAAACTGAACATTAACAATCCACTTAAAAAATGGGAGGCATGCCTGGATGGCTCAGTTAATTAAGCACCCAACTCTTGATTTTGGCTCAGGTCATGATCTCAGGGTCCTGGGATCAAGCGCTATATTGGGCTTCCCACTCAGCTTGGAGTCTGCTTGAGATTCTCTCTCTCCCTCTGCCCCTCCTCCTGCTAGTGCTCTCTCTCTCAAATAAATCTTAAAAAAAAAAAAAATAGGAAAGAGATGTGAACAGACTTCACTGACGAGGACATGCGGATGGCCAGTAAGCACAGGAAAGGATGCTCAACATCATTAGCAGTTAGAGAAATGTAAATCAAACCACAATGAGACACCACTGCATACTTTCCAGAAAGGCTAAGTAAGACACGGTGATGACACTGATGCTGGAGAAGATGCCCAAACTGCTCACTTGCTCACTGCTGGCAGGAACAGAAAATGGCACAGCCTCTCTGCCAAAGTGTTGGCAGTTCCCTTTAGCACTAAAAATGAGCTATAATACAACAATGATGCAAATGAGCACTTGTTCTCCTGGGCATTTACCCCAGAGAAATGAGAACTTAGCTTCACAGAGAGACTTGTACTTGAGTGTTGCTTGCACGTTCACGCCTCACAGCTGGCAACCGGGAACACCCCCGCGTGTCCTTCAACAGGTGAACGGTTCAGCCGTGGTGCAGAACACTTGTTGGCAACAAACACAGACTGTTGATACACAGCCTGGATGGACCTCCAGAGAATTTTGTTGAATGGAAAGAACCAATCTCAAAAGATTGCACACGCTATGATTCTGTTTATGTAACATCCTTGAAATAACAACATTATAGAGACAGAGAACAGATTCGTGGTTGCCAGAGGCTGGGACATCAAGTGTGTGTCCTGTGGTGATGGAAACATTCCACATGCTATGAAGGTGGTAGTCCACAAAGCTACACGGGTGATAAAACTACGGAGCTACATGTGTGCACACACATGCACACACACATGAAGATGAGTGCATGTATAACTGGTGGGATGTGAATCCATTCTGTGGGTTGCATTGAAGTCAGTGTCCTGATACTGAGCTGAGCTAGTCATGCAGGATGGTGTCATCCAGGAAGGCTGGGCAAAGCACACAGAGAACCTCCCTCCATATTTCTCTGCAACTTCCTGTAAATCTCTCATTATTTCAAAAAAGAAAGTTTAAAAATTGTGTTCTATGGACCAGCAACAAAGGAACAGAGGTAATTTAATTTAAAAAATAAAAAATAGGGCGCCTGGTGGCTCAGTTGGTTAAGCGACTGCCTTCGGCTCAGGTCATGATCCTGGAGTCCCGGGATCGAGTCCCGCATCGGGCTCCTTGCTCAGCAGGGGGTCTGCTTCTCCCTCTGATCCTCCCCCCTCTCATGTGCTCTCTCTCTCTCTCTCATTCTCTGTCTCAAATAAATAAATAAAATCTTTAAAAAATAAAATAAAATAAATAAATAAAAAATAAGTGTTGGGGAGGCTCCAGACTGCTGGGACCCTCACACACTGCTCATGGGAGCGAAAAGTCGGTGCACCCACCCTGGAAAACAGTTTGGCAGTCCCTACTAAACCTACCAAAACACATACCTCATGTTGCAGCAATTATCGGTGTCATTTACGTGTACCTCGGTCCAGCCTACGCACACAGCTAGCAAAACTCAGTGTACGTTAGTGAAAAGAAATGTTCACCACGGTATTAGCCATAATAATAATAATAATAGGCATCATCCCTAACACTGTCCACAGAGTCAATGCATAGTGCACTGTGATACGTTTAAATGGTGCAATATTACACATGATATGCTTGAATCATTGCTACATGCAAAAACATCAAGGATTCACTCAAGCATCATAATGAAAGAAACATAAAAGCATCTTCACAACTGCATTCATAAAAACCTCAAAAAATACCCAAAGTGACCGCTGCCCTTTGTGAAAACAAAAACAGATAAAGGTTTATTATTTCTGTGTGGTTCTATAGTTTGCTATATTTCATTTGCAGATTTACTTTAAAAAGCATAAAGTGCAATATAAGATAGCATTTTATTATCACTACAAATTAGATTTCAGGATGTTTGACTGTCCTATTGTGAAGAGTGACCTAGCCCAAGAGCCTTTTTCAAGGCAGCCTTAAATTCCTTGTTCCTCAGACAGTAGATCAACGGGTTGATTATTGGGGTGAGGACAGTGTAAACAGCAGAGATGAGCTTGTTGGAGCTCCGGGAATCGATGGCCTGGGGCCGGACGTACATGAAGATCATGGCCGTATAGAAGATGGTGACCACGGTGAGGTGGGAGGCACAAGTGGAGAAGGCTCTCCAGCGGCCAGTGGCCGAGGGGATGCGCAGGACAGCCAGGGTGATGTGTCCATAGGAGAGCACGGTGGCCATGAGGGGAAACACCAGGATGATGAAGGCAAGGATGAAGTCCACCAGCTCTGCAGTCGAGAAGTCTGTGCAGGCTAGTTTGAGGATAGGGGAAATGTCACAGAAGAAGTGGTTCACGATATTGGAGCCACAGAACGTGGCGCTGGAGATAAAGTACACCTTGATGGCGGAGATGGAGAAGCCGCTCACAAAGGAGAAGACCACCAGCTGGATGCAGAGCCCCATGGTCATGATGACTTGGTAGCACAGGGGGTGGCAGATGGCCACGTAGCGATCATAGGCCATGGAGGCCAGGAGCACGCATTCAGTGCACACCAAGGAGCTGAAGAAGTAGAGCTGAGTCATGCACCCAACAAAGGAGATGTGTTTCTGCTGCAGGAGGAAACCACCCAGCATCTTGGGGTTGATGTCAGATACGTACCAGATCTCCAGAAAAGACATGGAGCCCAGAAAGTAGTACATGGGCCTGTGGAGGGAGGAGCTGGTCCGGACGGTGAGGATGATGGCCAGGTTCTCCACCAGCACAAAGAGGTAGGTGAGCAGGAAGAGGAGGAAGAGCACATACTGCAGCCGAGGGGCCGTGGAGAAGCCCACCAGGATGAACATGCTGACCTGGGTGACATTCTCTCCCCTCATCCTTGTGTGCTGGGAGCCTGCAAAACACCACCATTCCAGAGTGAGGGGCTGTGGGGCCTCGGGGGGAGAAGGCAGAGCTCACCCTGCAGGAGAGTTTCAGCCCAGAGATCGGACGCCTGGCTCCATGAGCAGTGGAGGGAGCAGAAACTGTCTCCAAGTGAAGCCTTTCCCATCAGGAAGTTCCTGGTGTCCTTGGGGCTGGTCACGCTAAGAGTGGGGCTCTGGAATGCCCACCCACGTCCTCCCCCAAGTATCCCACGGTGGTCCTGTTTCCCTACAACCTGGAGTTCTCCAAAGATTCTAAAGACGATAGGCTCTCTGCAGCCAGTGTTACCTGGGCCTGTCATTGGTCATCGGGCACGCTCTTTCTAAATCAGTGGATACTGAACCTTCCACCTGGTTTCAGAGTTGATTTTGTAAGAGGAAGGGACAGCAGCAGGGCTCATGGGACGGTGGGATATGGTGTCCCAGTTTAGCCAGACCCTGGACCCAGACATACCCACAGGGCTGGGGGTCTTTGGGAGTAGCGGAAGTCTCCCGGGCCAAGAGGGGAGAGTGGTCACATATCTATCTTTGTGCCATCTCAAAACCCCTGAAAATATGACAAAGGAGTAAAAAGCTAAAAACTCAGGGACGCCTGGGTTGCTCAGTCGGTTAAGCATCTGCCTTCAGCTCAAGTCATGATCCTGGGGTCCTGGGATCGAGCCTGCTGTGTGTGGGGCTCCCCGATCAGCAGGGAGCCTCCTTCTCCCTCTGCCCCTCACCCTGTTTATGCTCGCTTGTGCTCTCTCTCTCTCTCAAATAAATAAATAAATAAACCTTAAAAAGAAGATAAAAACCCATAACATCAGAACATCAAAAGAGACCAGAAGGGGGATATCAGCAAGGGAAGGATTTTGAACCAATTCTGGAGGAAAGAAAGCAGATGGCAGAAAGGTGGCTGGGGCAGCAAGAGTAGAGAAGTCTACCAACAAAAAGGAGAATTACAGACCAATATCCCTGATGAATATGGATACCAAAATACTTGGCAAGATCCTAGTCAATAGGATCCAACAGTACATTAAAAGGATTATTCACCACAACCAGGTGGGATTTATTCTTGGGATGCAAGTGTGATTCAACATTCGCAAATCAATCAATGCGATAGGTCACATTAATAAAAGAAAAGACAAGAACCATATGATCCTCTCGATCGATGCAGAGAAAGCATTTGACAAAATACAGCATCCTTTCCTGATTAAAACTCTTCAAAATACAGGGATTGAGGGAACATATCTCAATATCATAAAAGCCATCTATGAAAAGCCCCCAGCAAATATCATTCTCAATGGGGAAAAACTGAGAGCTTTTCCCTTAAGGTCAGGAACACGACAAGGATGTCCACTCTTGCCATTATTGTTCAACATAGTACTAGAAGTCTTAGCCTCAGCAATCAGACAACAAAAAGAAATAAAAGGCATTCAAATTGGCAAAGAAGAAGTCAAATTCTCACTCTTCACAGATGACATGATACTTTATGTGGAAAACCCAAAAGACCCCATCCCCAAATTACTAGAACTCATATAGTAATTCAGCAATGTGGCAGGATACCAAATCAATGCACAGAAATCAGTTGCATTTCTATACACTAACAACATAACAAGAAAGAGAAATTAATGAATCGATTCCATTTACAACAGTTCCAAAAACCATAAGATAGGTCATAAGATAGGAATAAACCTAACCAAAGAGGTAAATTCTAGTTTCTCTAGAAACTATAGAATACTTAGGAAAGAAATTGAGAAAGACACAAAGAAATGGAAAAACATTCCATGCTCATGGATTGGAAGAATAAACATTGTTAAAATGTCTATGCTGCCCAGAGCAATTTACACTTTCAGTGCAATCCCTATCAAAATACTGTCGACATTTTTCACAGAGCTGGAACAAACAATCCTAAAATTTGTATGGAACCAGAAAAGACCCCGAATAGCCAGAGGAATGTTGAAGAAGAAAAGCAAAGCTGGCGGCATCACAATTCCGGACTTCCAGCTCTATTACAAAGCTGTCATCATCAAGACAGTATGGTACTGGCACAAAAACAGACACACAGATCAATGGAACAGAATAGAGAGCCCAGAAATAGACCCTCAACTCTATGGTCAACTAGTCTTTGACAAAGCAGGAAAGAATGTCCAATGGGAAAAAGACAGTCTCTTCAACAAATGGTGTTGGGAAAATTGGACAACAACATGCAGAAGAATAAAACTGGACCACTCTCTTACACCACACACAAAGATAAACTCAAAATGGATGAAAGACCTCAATGTGACACAGAAATCCATCAAAATCCTCTGACTTCAGCCACAGCAACTTCTTTCAAGACACGTCAGATGTCTGACAGGTGTGATAGGGAAAGGTGGAGGGGGTAAAAACCAGGCTCCTACATGCAGTTTGCTTCCAGAACAGTCTAGTGGCTGCCCCCACATGGCCCTCTCCATCCTGTGTGTGGGTCCCCAGAGGCGGCCTTGATGGGACAAAGGGCCATGTCACCCTCATCGTCCTCATCACTGACCAAGTATTTTAACATGAAACACGTCCTGTCATGGTCACCAGGACCCTGGAAAACAAGGCTGACATCTTCACGTTCAGATGAGTCAGACTCAAAGCAAAATGTTTGGGGGCTCACCCGGGATCGTGGCAGCACCAGGACACAAACCCGGGCCCTCTGACCCCATGGCTGCCACTTCTCCCACCAGATATCAACAAGAGAGAAAACAAACCCATCTGGCTGTGGCCAGAAATCTGGAATTGTTAAGACGGATAGATGGTGTTGCAGGCTGCCTTCTGACAGGACTCTAATAGGCTATGCAAACCAAAGGTCACAAAAAGAAAGTATTTTTCAGCAGGACAGGCAGACAATGCCCTTTAAGAAAGAAATGCTGGCTATGTATGTTTGTCACATCCGTACTTGGAATACCGTGCAGTCACTGAGAAGGAACCCATCTCTCTACAGACATGGAATGATTTCCAAGACACACAGTTAGATTTTCTAGATATTCTTAGCAGCACGTACAGTGGGCCTCCACTGGTGTACGTAAGGGCACATACGTGGGACGACTGTGTGTGGCCGTCACACAGGGAACTCGGCATGCCCGTTGCCCTGGCTGGGAAGCAGGTGGCTGGAACACAGTGGCAGACGGAAAGCTTTCTATGGTATATTTTTGCTACTTTTTCCATTTTGTTTCATGTGTGTTATCTATTCAAAACAGTAATCTGTTACTTATTTTTAAATTCTCAAATTCTCCTGTAAAAAGAAGATGTTATGTGCTGGATTAAACATTCAGCAGGTAAACATTTCCCTAAGCCGCGGTTCCACATCCATGCGGAAAACACACAGACAGACTGGGCCACTGGGAGTGTGCCTCTCATGATTGGCAAAAGCCTCAAATGTGGTATCGTGCAGAATAATGATGCAACAAGGAGGTGCAATGAGAAAGTACAGAATCACAACAAAATCATCTCTCTTCCCAAAAGAGTAGAGAAATGAAAACACAGAAAGGAAAACCTGAAGAGAAGTATAATAGAAACATAGCTGACCCTTGAGCAAGTGGGGGTGATGGGCACTGACCCCCATGCCATCAAAGATCCGTGTTATAGCTTCTGACTCCCCAGAAATCTAACTATGGATAGCCCGCTGGTGACCGGGAGCCTTACCGACACCATCAACAGTCAATGAACACGTATGTTGTATGTTTGTATGTTGTATGTATTATACACGGTATTCTTACAATAAACTCAGCTAGAGGAAAGAAAATGTGATTAAGAAAATCATACATTGGGGCACCTGGGTGGCTCAGTCGTTAAGCGTCTGCCTTCGGCTCAGGTCATGATCCCAGGGTCCTGGGATGGAGCCCTGCATCGGGTTCCCTGCTTGGCGGGAAGCCTGCTTCTCCCTCTCCCACTCCCCCTGTTTGTGTTCCCTCTCTCACTGTCTCTCTCTCTGTCAAATAAATAAATAAATAAGAATCTTAAAAAAAAAGAAAATCATACATTTACAGAACTATAGTGTATTTATCAAAAAAATCCGCATATAAGTGGACTGCTCAGTTCAAACCTCTGTTGTGCAAAGGTCAACTGTGTATTAATGGCATTATCAGGGCATGAATAAGTAGGCAAATTATTAAGAATCTAGATAACTTAATATGAATCTAACAGATCCTTAGAGAAAAATGTGTAGGAAATACCTGGTCAGTGCCTGGCCTGCAGAGAGCATTTCGTAACAGTGGTAGTAACATGCACAGGAGTTGAATTAATTAAATGCAGTAAGACAGTTTTCTTGTCCATTTACTGGTTAAACCATAATGTACACCATAATGGGGTGCGGGATGGAACTGCGCAAAGTGGAGGCCCCCAGCCTCGTGCTCACCTTGCTTATGCCTGGGGTGCTCCCGGCCCTCCCCCACCCCGGCTGGTCCTGCTCTTGGGCCTGTCACCACACACCCGCCATCATGGTAGCTCTGCTCCCCTGTTTGCACCTGCCTGTGTTCTTGGTCTCTGCCCGCTGCACTTCCCAAGGCAAGAGCTATGCCTCCTCGCTCCCCACTGGACCGGGCACCAAGCATGATTGCCGACACACAAGATGAGCTCCACGAACCCTAAGGGGGTGGGAAGCATGGGACAGAAGAGTTGCAGATGATAATGCGACCCAGCCAAAGATGCTGAAGGAGAGATGGTACCACACAGCTGCTCCCTCTTCCCTCTCTTCTTAGTCCTCAAATCCCAGAGAACTTTCTTAGAAAATACAAAAATAGAGGGAAACCCTCATGATGCAGGAAGCTAGGGAGGAGAGCGGGCCATGCCCCAAGCACCTAGAAGATGTCACCAGACTCCTGAACACAGAAGAGAAGAAATGCTAATGAAGCCATGCACCCGCAGAGCGTGCAGGAGCCCCATGGCTCAGGGGACACGAGGCGGGAATGTGACCTGGGTTCTCTGACTAGGAGGGCTGGGAGGAGCGAGCTGTATGACTCGTGGA